TTATTTTATATCCCTTTTCGGCCAAATATCTATATTAGTAAATTTAATGATATGATAAAAAAAAAAAACACTACGTACATTTTTAATATTAAGTGAATTGTATATTGTAAGGTTTTTAATGTTATTTTGACAAATGGTCGAAAATGAATCATGTTTAAAAATGTAACGTGATTATTACTCCATTTGTTTCAATATTCTACTCATATAGACATCAATAATCTATATATACTATACTAAAACAGGGTACACTAGCTCCAAAGCTGACACGTGTCCCTGTTTTAGTTTTCTGTTTTTTTTTTTTTTTTTTTTTTTTGAACTGTCTATTGTAGAATGTATATCATTGTCAAAGATTCTATTAATTGCATATTATAAATAATCTTCATAATATATAAAATCTGATATATTTACACATGAATATTGAATATTTTAGTTAAGTTTCTATTACAGTTTAGTAAAGATATAATTGACTATATTAAAGGCAGATTATCACTCAAACACTAATTTTATAAATTATTTTATTTATAAAATATACTACGTAATATACTACCTCCACTTTAACCTTAGGAATTGTAAATGGATAGAACTCGGGAAAGCGAGGGTAGTATTAAGTAGCAAATTAATTTTGTAAAAGAAAAGATTAACAAGTGATATTTTTTCCTACAATGATAGTAAATAATAGATTATGAATAGCTACAAATTATAAGCATTCTTGACCATTTTATGAAGCTAGAAAATTTTATAAATTATATTAGTAAAATATTTATAATATTGTATATTATAGAATAATCTATAATATCTTATATCCTCCTATCCATATTTTAGTCAAGTTTAGATTATAGTTTTGTTAATCAATGATATTATTGATAATATAGATTATCAATTATATATCATTCAAATATTCTAATTTATATAACACGTGGTCTAAATAAGAAATTATGATAAGTGCATTTCCATATTTTTCATTTAATCAAATTTGATTATTTTACATATTTATACACTTGTAAAAATTGTATATAATCATTTATAGAAGGTGATATGATTATTTTTCGTGAATCTTAGTCTAAAAACATGTAACATTAAAAAAAAAAAAAAAAGGATATTTCACCAAAATAATCAATCAAAAAAATAATTGACTAGAAACTACTATCAGAATATACATAAAAATGATATACCGCTAATTAAAATTCGATCACAAAATTATGAATTTTGATTGATTATTGATATACTACGAATTGATTTTGATTGATTCAAAAATGTTTAATAGTAGTCTTTTGTTAAATTATGTTTTTAAAATATGTAAATTGTGAACCAATTATGTTGGTATAATACTAATTTTTTACTGTATGATTTTAGGTATCATATCTATTTTATAAAAAAATTTACATATGGTATATAATGCAATTTCACAAACTTTCATATGTGGCTGGCCACACCGTGTAGCTAGCCACATATATTTTTTTTTTTAAATGATGGTCGCGGTTACTTGGTAAAGGGTTACTCGGTCAGTCAGGGGTTACTTACTTGGTTATAGGTTATTCGGTCAATCAGGGGTTATTCAGTCGGTCGGGGACTCAGGGGTTACTTGGTCAGAGGTTACTTGATCTGGGGTTACTCGGTCGCTCAGAGGTTACCTGGTCACGTCAAGGTTACTCACGTATTAGCTCGCCACACTGTGTGAAACCCGAAATCTCTTAATATTATAATAGGATTTTAAATTTATGCTACACCTATAATCAAACCATTTATTTGACAACTAATATTACAATACACTCATGCATAATATCTACAATCTACATATTTAAGATGTTGGTATTGTTAGTTAGACAGTTAGTTCATGGAATGAATATAAGGATAACATTATACTTGATACTACGTATACGTATCTATTATGAATTTACGAGTATTGAGTGTGCATAAGAATGATTTTAATTTATTTAACGATCATATATAAATTTGCATAATAGACATAAATAAATGAATATAAAAAAAATTAAAAAAAGAAAAAGAAAAAATGAGGCACGTAAGTGTACCACCCTATAAGATAAACTATAATTTTCATTTTTAATATAGATTTTGGTACTAATTTTATATGTGTAGCCAACCATCATAGGGTTACTCGGTTAGTGTTATAGGGGATACCCCAGTTAGTGTTATAGTTGTCACTTTGTCAATGTTGTACTTTGTTATTTAAGAGTTACTAAATAAGTATAATAAAACTCTGTTCACTTCATCTTAAAGATATATAAGAATGATATGCATTTTATTTTTCTTCTCTTATATGCTTGTATATATATTTTTTTAATTTACTATTATATATATGCAATAAAAAACCTATCTTTCACAAATGCACCTTGACAATCTGTCACACTGAATGCTTTCTATTATAGAAGTTGCGATATAAAATGATTACATATAATTCAAAAAAGACGGATAATCAAACAATTGACAAGCCTAAACATCATTCCGAGGTTAAAATTTTAGGAAAAAAAAAAATTATACTTCGTACTAAGCAGTTAGTGGCTTTGCAAATTTTTTAGACGGGTAAATTTTTGGTTGTAGAAGGTGTGATAGGTGTGTGGTGATGATCAGGTGAATTCATCATGTAATAAAATCAAGGTAGTAAGTGATGGGATCAAAAATCCTATTTGTAAAAGTTTCATGTTAAACTTTAAGTGTTTTTAGAAGCAATCGAGGAAAAAAAAAGACGAAAATATATGTGATATACGAAGTACAATATATAATGATCATGTTATTATAATGGTATACTTTTCCAAAAATATATTGAGTTAGAGGACAGTGATAGTCATTTAAAAGGCAAATTTTTATATGTGGCTGGTCACACCGTGTGGCAGGGGTTACTCGATCAAGGGTTACTCGAGGGGTTTAGTCAGTGGCTACTTGAGGGGTTCGGTCTGGGGTTACTTGAGGGGTTCGGTTTGGGGTTAGTTACTTGGTCATGGGTTACTTAAGGGGTTACTCGGTCAGGGGTTACTCGGTCATGAGCTGAGTTACTCGAGTTACTCGGTCAGAGTTTACTTGAGGGGTTTGGTCAGGGGTTAGTTACTCGGTCATGGGTTACTTAAGGGGTTACTCGGTCATGAGTTACTCGAGTTACTCGGTCAGGGTTTACCTGAGGGGTTCGGTCAGGGGTTACTTGAGGGGTTCGATCAGGGGTTAGTTACTCGATCATGGATTACTTAGGGGTTACTCGGCAAGGGTTACTCGAGGGGTTTACTTTAGGGGTTACTTGAGGGGTTCGGTTAGGGACTCGGTCATGGGTTACTTGAGGGGTTCGGTTAGGGGTTACTCGGTCATGGATTACTTGAGGGGTTACTCGGTCAGGGGTTACTCAGTCAGGGGTTTAATTTACTTAAGGTCGAGGGGTTCGATCAGGGGTTTACTCGATCAGGGGTTACTTAATGGGTTACTCGGTCAGAAGTAACTCGACTAACCCCTGGCTAAGAAACTTGAATCATCCCGGCCACACGGTGTGACCAGCCACGCAAAAAAATCCCCCTTTTAAAAATGAGGGGAAAAATATGACTTAATATGGGTATTGATTGTCAGTTCATTGAGTTGAATTATTTTTCAAATCTTTCCATACAATTTAAGAATTAAAAAAAAAAAAAGTTGTTTTCAAGTAATACTTTGCATATCAATATTTTGAGGGTTAAAAATATATAATTAAGACATATTTCTAAGTAAATTCATTATTACTCATTAAATCATTTTATTTTAAAATTTTGTGAAATGAATATGAGTATCAAGATTTGTAAGCCGTGCATCACACGGGTGCTATACTATTTATAATGCTAAAACAGACACCGGGAATAACACGTGTCACATCCTGGTGCTGTTATTTTTCCTTCAAACCCCCTTTTTTTTACTTGATCACATCGTTGAAGAATATTTGGAATATTATATAATATATTTCCTTCCCATTTATCCATAATATATTTACCATAAATATTCAACTAAAATATAATTTCAAATTCTAAGTTTTTTTTTCTTAAAAATTATTTTTCTTTACTTAAAAATTATTTTTCTTTTGGTAAATTATTACTTTCTATGATTGAATTAACAATTCATTACAAATTTTTGTAAAATCCGTGCATGGCACAGGATTTTAGCTAGTATAAACTACAAAAGCCTCGTTTAAAAAAAAAATAAAAATAAAAGAAATCTACAAAAGTAATTTTTGTATGATATTTACAATTAACATATTTGATTATGTACTAGAACAAGTTTAAAAGTACATATTGAAACAAAATTAACAAGATTACAAAATTAACTAAGATTTCACCTTTCTCCTAATTTAACTTTTTTTTTTAAACTATGATTTCATAAATAATGTTAAAACGGCAAAAATACTGCGGAGTATCATTCTTTTATTTTCTTAAGATATATCAATTTAGAACTATCCCAAATTTAACATGTCAAATTGTCAAGAGACTACCATGAACTAAATTCATGGGACACCCCAGCAAAACATAAGGCAAGCAACTAGGGATTCTCTCTTTTTTTTTTTCATTTGTTTACTCCCTCAATCCCTATATTAATGTTTGCACTATTTATTTTTCTACGGTCTCTAAAAAATATGTTTGATGATCAATTATATCTTTAACGTAATGATGAATAATGGTAAAACGAAATTATTTTTATTGAAATCGCCTATTCAAGCAAAGTAATACGCAGTATTATTGTTGTTTATTCTTATACTCATACATCAATAAAAATTCTCGATTAAAGTTGATAAGTATTCCGTAAATATTTAGTACGGGTTACACCACACTTTTTCTTATTTTTGGTAGGAAGGAGAAGGTGTGTTAAGCCACTTAGATGTCCTACCGGGCCGGAGCCTTACACCGTATCTGCATCGTATAGTAGGCTTGTATTAAAAATTGATACTTCGACCTTCGTACAATTATTAAAATGTTGGCCTCTTATTATAATCTTTAAATAATTGAATTATAAATAAATCTTCGATAATCATAACCTTCCAAATTTCTCTCACCATATCTCTCTCTCTCACACTCTTACTCTTTCTCACTTGACTTCCATCCTCTCTTTCTCTCTCTCTCTCTCTCTTTTTTTTGGAGAGAGAAAGTTCTCCACCATCCATTTTTTGGGTGATAATTTGCTTGGTGCTCTGTTGCTAGATTCAGGCAAAAGATTAAGATTTACAAAAAAGTTATAAGGATAAATACAAGGGTATTTTCTTCTCCCATTTTCATCGCAATTTCTTCCATATTCTTGTGATTTTTTTTTTTTCCTTTTTACCTTTATTTCTGCAATGTATTAGCTAGATCTTTAAATGGGTATCTTTGATTTCATCATTTTGAGCTCCCGATTGAAGTTTAATGGTTTATAATTGATGGGTATTCAGTAAAATCGAATTTTAAATGGTGTATGGTTGAGAAATTAAATCATTCGAAGAATAGGGTATGGATTTTGCAGTTCAAGAATCTATTTAATTGGTTTCTAATCCAATATACTTCGTAATTTCATATTGGAATTAATTGGTGATTTTTTTTAATTTTTATTATATTCATTTATCTGGATTTTTGAGTATGTTCTTTTACTTATTTATTATAATTATTGTTATTGCTTTTTAATCATGTATACGTTGAAAACTATTGATTGGTGAGGAAATTCGGGCATGATTTAAGGAAGAATTCTTTTTTCCTATCCTTAGATTTGAAGCAATGATCTTGTAGTATTCATGTTTGTCTCAGCTTTCCATTTTAGTTTTAATTTAATGCAGGAAATTGTCAACAATTATACAAGTATATGATTTGCTTTTTTATAATTTCCACCACTTTTTCTAACAGTGGGGATGGGGACTGTGGTTGGCCTTTTTCCATGGAAAAGATTTGTAGATTGGTTTTAGCATTTTGGGACCCCACCTTCATGTGGAAATCTTGTAGATTGGTTTAGTATTTTGGTGGGCTGCCATTATATTCCAATTTACTTCTTTGACTAGTAGATCTGTTTACATTATAATCCTGGTTTAGACTCCTTTGTTTATGGTACTGTCATTGTTATATACCTTTCAGGTCAGACCGTCTTATACAAGAATTTACGTGTGCGCTAACACTTCCCGAGTTTGGTGTCTTTCCATTAGATTTGATTGTGGAAGTCTGAAGTGAGTAATCATCTAGGTCTAAGTAGCTTTGGTTTTTCCATCATTTATTACCGGTGTTGGGTTTTTCTGGTAAGTGTAAAGTTATACTAAATTTGTTCAGTTTGAAGATTTGGAGTTATTAGCTATGTTGTATTGTTTGGTGGGTTGATGATATGTTGGCTACAATTTGTTGTGCTTCATACTTTTGTTTTTTTTCTTTTCCAGGATCTCATATAAGTGTATTTTCTGTACCAAAGTTGCCGAGATATGCAGCCATTTTTGACATGCATGGATTTGTTGATGTAGGTAAATCATCAAGTCTAAGTAAGATGAAGTTTAAAGATGGAAGGCCGATTTCTCACCCTGATAAAGCTGTGAAGATCGTCCCCCTGTCGTTCATCATTGTTCTGTTATGCGGGATATCATTCTATCTTGGTGGGGTATTCAATAATATTGATGCTAAAGATATCACCGACGCGGTTACAAAAACAGAACAAAAACGGACGACGAAATCAGCTGTCGCACCTCTACAGATTAAGTCTGTTTCCTTCCCTATATGTGGCGTTGAATACCAGGATTACACTCCCTGCACTGATCCAAGGGTATACACAATACTTAGCTATACATATCATAGATGATTAATTTCTTAAGTACACTGCTCAAGTAGTCAAGTTATGTTGATTATATGTCTGTGTATCTTTATACAGAGATGGAAGAAGTATGGTTACAAACGGCTTGCTTTCTTGGAACGACATTGTCCACCAATATTCGAAAGAAAAGAGTGCTTGGTGCCCCCACCTGAGGGGTATAAATTGCCAATTAGATGGCCAAAGAGCAAGAACGAGTGTTGGTACAGGTGATTTTAATTGTCAATAACTCCATATAGTTGCCCATGGGCATTGTTGTACTAGATTATGTATGATATCTAAAAATAAAAACTTGCTGATTCCAAGACATTATTCTTGTGATTTATTTGTAGAAATGTGCCATACGATTGGATCAACAAGCAGAAGTCTAATCAGCATTGGCTGAAGAAAGAAGGAGAAAAATTCTTCTTCCCTGGTGGAGGCACGATGTTTCCCAAGGGAGTCAGTCATTATGTAGATCTTATGGAAAACTTGCTTCCTCAATTGAAAGATGGAACTATTCGTACTGCTATTGATACTGGCTGTGGGGTAAGTTTTACATCACCTGAGAATAGGATAGTTTGAATTTATGTTAATGGGTTCTTTCTGAAAGAATATCGATCTAAATTATATCACCAAACTATTGATGCTGTTATTAAATATTGATATTATGAGCTAATTGACTTGAAGGTCGCTAGCTGGGGAGGCGATTTGCTGGATAGAGGAATTCTTACTGTCTCCCTAGCCCCAAGGGATAACCATGAGGCACAAGTTCAATTTGCCCTGGAACGTGGTATTCCTGCAATTCTAGGAGTTATTTCAACACAACGACTTCCTTTCCCTTCCAGTTCGTTTGATATGGCTCACTGCTCAAGATGTCTTATCCCTTGGACAGAGTTTGGTATGTCCCTCAGTTTATGTTTGTTTCAGCTCAAAGGTGTTCTTGTGTGAAATTCAGATTGAAGACTTTCACCTAAGATATCTGATAATCTGGTTATCCTATGTTAATGTGGATGTAATTTTTTTGTAATGCTGTCTCTAGGTGGAGTCTACCTCATGGAAATTCACCGTATACTTCGGCCAGGAGGTTTCTGGGTTCTTTCTGGACCACCTGTGAACTATGAAAACCGTTGGCGAGGGTGGAATACCACTGTTGAGGAACAAAGATCAGACTATGAAAAATTACAGGAATTGCTTACTTCTATGTGCTTCAAGCTGTTCAGCAAAAAGGATGATATTGCTGTGTGGCGGAAGGCTTCAGACAATAGCTGCTATGATGAGAAGCTTGCTAATCCTGATGCTTATCCTCCCAAGTGTGATGACAGTGTGGAGCCTGACTCAGCTTGGTACACTCCTCTACGCTCGTGTGTGACAGTCCCAAACCCAAAGTTCAAAAAATTGAGTTTGAAATCCGTGTCAAAGTGGCCACAACGTTTGGACGTTGCACCAGATCGCCTCTCTGATATTCCTGGTGGGAATGGCGGTGCCTTCAAGCATGATGAAAGCAAGTGGAAGGTCAGAGTTAAGCATTACAAGAAGTTGGTCCCGGCCTTGGGAAGTGACAAGATAAGGAATGTTATGGATATGAATACAGTGTATGGGGGTCTTGCAGCTCAACTAATTGAGGATCCTGTTTGGGTTATGAACGTAGTTTCCTCCTATGGTCCTAACACATTGCCTGTGGTTTATGATCGGGGTCTCATTGGAGCTTATCATGACTGGTAAGTGGTAACCGAATATTCCCTTTGTGGACAATAATCTGGATTTGCATCATTCACTATTCTTTTGTTATACATTTACTATTCTTTTGGTAGAAGATCATAGAAAATGATCGAAATTCCATGTGATTGTTCAAGCTTATGCATATCCATTGACAAGCATCTATGTATGTTCAATTTCATTGCCACCTAAATTCACATTACTAAGTGGTGGAAGTGGCAATGATAATGAAGATGAAGAAACAAAAACTATTGTCCGATGGAGATTCATTATCTTGGTTGTTCTAATGACACACTTTCCATGCGATAACTTCACAAATTCAATATAGGGTTCCTTACTAACGACCTTTATATTGATTCAGGTGCGAGCCATTCTCTACCTATCCAAGAACATATGATCTTCTTCACGCAGATGGCCTCTTCACTGCTGAAAGTCATAGGTAACTCCTTGTTTGTAATCCCTTATCATTGTTTAAAATCATCATCTGGGTTTAGAGTCTTGCAAAGACTTTGCCCCATCACAAGCAAAAAAAAGGAGTCAAGGACCTTAGTAATGTATTTACTATTTTATTTGACAGGTGCGATATGAAGTATGTGCTCTTGGAAATGGATCGAATCCTTCGACCTAGTGGGTATGCTATCATCAGGGAAAACAACTACTTTGTGGATTCTATCAGTACTATTGCCAAGGGGATGAAGTGGGAGTGTCGCAAGGAAGAAACTGGTTACAACAGTGAGAATGAAAAGATACTAGTATGCCAGAAGAAACTCTGGTACTCTAAACAGAGTTCAAGATGACAAACTATAGCAGTCTTTGAATCACGAAGGCCATCGAGTTTTCTGGTTGAGAATGAAATATAAGTTATACTCTTGATGTAATTTAGAGAAAGATCAAGAGCACAGGTCAAGAAAGGCAAAGCTTATATAGATGATTCTTTTTGCCGCACGAGAAGGAACGTGCTGTCTATCCAATTCATTATAGAAGAATTCAAAGTTTTATAAAAGAAACCAGAGTTTGTCATACTGAAATTAGTCTATTAGAAAACAATATGATCTTACAGTATTATTTTGTAGTTGATGTATTTTTTTTTTAATCAAGTTTATACATGCTCCGAACATTGTACTCCGTACTAAAAATAGCCAGTACCTTAAATTTTGTGCACGTGATGATATGAAAATGTGCTGAGATTTTTACACCATGAATTGTCAGCTTTTAGCCAGCAACTCCAGTGGTTGTTTCTGAGGATGATCTTTGTAACAATGTTTAACCCCTTTTCAGTCGTTTAAGACCTTACTTTAGCGTCAATAAAAAGGCTCTTTTTTGACTTAAAGGTGGGGTAAAGGTATAAAAAGAACTTGTGGAGTAGGAGTGATTGGATAATTATTTGTTGTTTCGAATATCTATTACTCTGTATATCAACTTCTAAGGGACGAAAGGAGTATTATTGTAGTGTATCATCCCTGTTTGTTTTCTTTTCGTTTTTTTATTGACACTAAGTTCGTTCACCTGTTAAAGATACCATGTAATGAAATTTCTATAATGGATGAGCATTGCACAACAATTCTTTTTACTCCGCACTTCCTCCATCCCTTATTTTTTACCCCATAGCAATATATGGGTCAAACTTTTAAAACTTTAACCATGAATTCTCATTAATTTATAAGTGATAATATATTCATGTAGGATCTTGTTAGAATATATTTTATTAATATCAAGTTTTTATAATTTTTACGAATATAAAAATGGAGATATAATCGTTTAAATACGTGTCTTTGAGACCGTGAAAAGTCAAATGGGGCAAAAAATAAATGACGGAGGGAGTATAATTTATTTATTTATTTATTTATTTTTTACAGCAGGGGAGTATAATTTATCACCAATATCAAGAAGACAAGAACTTGCAGCTTTTCCCTTACAACCACGCTAATTAAAAGTTAGTGTTATTACATCCGATTCCTGTTAACTACTGTATATAAGTGCTCTGATTTTTTAAAAACACAAAAACAAAAAGTAATACTCGTTATTTGTACTCATTTTAAATGATAAGTTATATGAAATGAGTAAAATTAGAAGTATTCAGCAAAACAAGGTGAATAATAATTTACAGTATTTTCTTTAAACGAAGTGAGAATTTTTTTTGTTTTGATACTGCTAGTCAGAATTTATCTTTTCAAATACTATTCCCTGTCCACCTCTTGGAATTTGTTTTTCTTATCTTTATTCTATGTACAGTACAAACTAAGGGATCGATATAATTAATTTTTCATAAACGGACATTTCATTTTCCATAGTAAGTTCATCGTGTTCTGTATCGTTAGCCTGTCCGACTATTACCCCTTGAATTTAATATCTTAGATTTGTTAATGGTCTAAAACATATGAACATTGTTGAAAACAGCGTCCAAAACACAAAGTATCTCATCCACTGTACGCTCGTCGCTCAGGCTGTGTCCGCTACACAAACCACTGCACGACATATTCAGTGGGTAAACCTCACATGCTGCACAAAATGCACCACCACTATACCTGAGGTACCTTGTTAAGGTACATCGAGATAGCTGTGTTGCGCCATTAAAACCATTTTTCTATCGACAATGTTTACCAGCACAAAAATTTATAAAGTAATCAAAACAGTTTACTGATAAGATAAAGCGTAGCTGGGTGTAAAAAATGTGAAACAGTCGATTATTTGGCATTGTTAAAACAAATAGACCAAAAAATTATTGTGCAATGCTCCCAATAAATAACCGGGCTACGGAGTTTATAAATAAAATACATGCTCAAGAAAGCAGTGCAAACAAGTGCCGAGGATTCCTGCTCTCTAAATCCACCCTCTCAAGCCTTAAATTGTAGTACAAGAAATTGCGGATAATTGTCAAAACCACAAAATACAGCTGCTTCTTGTTTTCCCTTGACAATCTACATGGTCCCTCACACTAAAAGAATATCTTAATGTACACACCAACTAACCAAAGAACCCCAATTTTAGAGGACCTGAAAACGATGGGAACCTTTATTGAAGCCAGAAGACTGATAAACAGCAATGAAGAACAAATTGAAAATACCGAATGCGACAAGGACACTGGTGTACTGACTCGTTTGTCGATTAATTTGAAGCATCCCGACTGTAGTACTGGTCGAGGGTCTTTGCTGGGATACGGTGGAGAAGCTCACGGGGGAAGATCCTGAGGAGCGTCCATGCTAGATCAAGTGACTGGAAGATGGTACGGGTGTCATATGCTCCTTGGGCCACAAACTTCCTCTCAAACTTGTCCAAGAATTCCAAGTATAGCTGAACAATTAGAATGAAAAACAAATGGTCAACTTGTGAAATTTATGTCTATAGCCCGGGAACATCTATAATAAAAGGAAGCAGAAAATACCAGATCTTCTGAAGAAAGAGCCTCCTCTCCAACCACGGCTTTCATGGCTTGTACATCCTTCCCGATGGCATAATTGGCATATAGCTGAAAACACAGAAACAGGACACATACAAATATTATTCAAGTAGAGGCTTGGAATCAAGTCAAATAAACACCAAACCAAGTATGCTGGCAGACCTGGTTGGAGACATCAGAGTGATCCCTGCGAGTCATGCCTTCACCAATAGCACTCTGTAATCACAGTCAGAAGTAAAATTCAGCCAGATTTTAAGAAAATATGACATGAATTAACATTCAAGAAGCAATTAAATTTGATCAATAGCTCAACAGGATATACCTTCATAAGACGGGAAAGTGAGGGGAGGACATTGATTGGTGGGTATATCTGTACATGAAAAAACTCAGTCAACATAATATCTAGACACTTTTCCTGCCAATAATTTCTCTACATTTGAATTAATTCAGCCATGTGCATACTTCACAAAAGTACAATTGAAGACATAACACAAAAAAAAAAAAAAAAAAAAAAAAAAAAAAAAAAAAAAAAGGCTTCATATAGTTTAAGAGCCAAAATAGATACTCGCCTGACGATTGTGTAGCTGCCTGTCAATATAGATTTGCCCCTCAGTAATATACCCCGTAAGATCAGGAGTTGGGTGAGTAATATCTAAATTAGAGAAGATAGCAAAAGGTGTTAACAAAAGTAGGAATAGAAGAATAAAACAGGCATGATAGAGTCTAAAATAAATCATTACCGTCATTAAAATAAATCATTACCGTCATTAGGCATAGTTAAAATTGGAATCTGAGTGATAGAGCCTGATCGCCCTTCAATACGTCCAGCACGTTCATAGATGGTGGCCAGATCAGTGTACATATAACCTGGATAACCACGTCTTCCAGGCACTTCTTCACGGGCAGCTGATACCTGAAGAATTAAATCAATTATCAAGATGCTGCATCACAACAATGCCCTCAATATTGCAGTTCGAGAAACATGAGTTCAGAAAGATAGTTTTTAACTAAGGGCAATGCAAGCTCACCCCAGAAACTGCAGCACATTTACATTTAAAAGAGTTTTCCATTTTTCATTTACAGATCCTAGACTAAACTCAAAATTAAAGCAACTTAGAACAAAGAGCACCCAGAGTAGATGCTGCCCTGCACTACTATGAACAGTAGACATGAATGAGATTTGACCGCTTAAGATTACTTGAGAGGTTTCAACAGACCTTAATTAACAAGAAAAAATGTACAGAAATGACATAGCATAAGATGTATTGCTGACGTGTTACAGCTGATCGTATAAATATCTTAGCTGTAAATTATCGGAACCACGATTATATATTCAAAAAAGCCCATACACGACAAGGAACCAAAAAAGTATTTACAAAGATTAACTGCATTAGTTGATCTCCGAACAAGGTTAACATTCATGAAATATTATGCTCAATCAGATGGCTAAAATACGGTATAAGTATAGTTAATCTACTAAATGTGCTCAACCATTAGCGTTAGACATTTGAGAGCATATAGTTTCCTGGGCAATATATTAAAATAAATCATGTTGTAAGAAATATAGTTTCCACTCAGTCCAGGAATGAGACAGAATCTCCATGAACAACCAAAGTCTGAACAACTTCAAATCCAGAACAGAGCAACAGTTATTCAGCAGGAGTGTTGGAGAATTAAAAAATAAAAAGGCACAACAATAAGACTATTTTTTAGACTTGATGATAGCAAAACTTACAAGCAACTCTTTCTGGGGATTATTAATTCAGTTAATATTAGACCTTGTATTGAACCTTGAAAGTCTCAACAATAGCAGACTAAATAAAATTCATCAGAATCATTTTCTCAAGCTTAATGCCTTTTTAATTTCAATTTTATAATAAATAAAACGCTACCAATAAGCTTTTAACCCATTGTTACACAAAGAAGTAAAAATCACTAGGTGCCGCCTCACGGCCTTAGGCACACTATCAGCTAGGTGTGATCATTAAATAGTATGAGTTGGGCAAATTGAAGATCATTAAATAGTATGAGTAGGGCAAATTGAAGATCATTAAATAGTATGAATTGGGCAAACTGAAGATCATTGCACTTATTATGTCTTTGCCTAAAAAAGCTATAGATTGTAGCCAAACTTCTAAACTCTTCGGCTGTCCAAAGCTCTCATCACGATTAAACTCATATTTGCATCAAAAAAAAATCTGTCCTATCTGGTGCATGGGGGTATCAATAAAGGAGCGTAATTTAATCACATTAAGCATCTTACAGTAAATCATCAATTTTGATGACAAAATTTTACCTCACGAAGTGCATCTGCGTAAGAACTCATATCAGTCAGAATAACAAGCACATGCTTTCCACATTCATATGCCAGGTATTCTGCAGTTGTGAGGGCAATACGAGGAGTAATGATACGCTCAATAGTAGGGTCATTGGCCTGAGAAGAAGAAATTTGAAAGAATCAGAACCTGATTCAACATAGAGCAGAAGCCACAACCAGAGAGCAATTAACACTGAGCAACAGCCATAGAGAAGGAAATACCAGATTTAAAAAGAGAGTAACTCTCTCCATAGATCCATTCTCCTCAAAATCACGTTTAAAGAATTGAGCAGTTTCCATGTTAACTCCCATAGCTGCAAATACAATGGCAAAGTTGTCCTCTTCACCACCACCCTGCATAGTGTACAGGCAAATCCTCATATAAGTATGCAAGACAAGTTTGAGATTAAAGAAAACAAAAAGAAATATTACTACTTGAATAGATATTTTAAATTGTGAAAGCATAATACCCCCCCCCCCCGGATCTTTCCCCCAAACAGGCTGGAAAAAGTCGGAGGAAAAGATAACAAAAGCACATGAATATATTGATTAAATTAAAAAAAACCAGTAACACTTGCGCCACCAAAATAAGCCCAAATTAGGAATGAGGGAATCATATAAACATCACAAGATAAAAAAAAAAAAAAAAAAAAAAATAGTATTTAAAATATGGTTCAGTTGTTAAATTGTGAAAAGCACGTAGAGCTTTCGCAGGCCAGTAATGTGCTCATACCTCCAAAAGGTTGTCAGACTTCTCTAACCGCTTCACCAGACCTGCCTGGCGACAAATCTGTGCAGCAATCTCATTGTGAGGAAGACCAGCAGCAGAAAAAAGAGGGATCTTTTGTCCTCTAGCAATAGAGTTCATGACATCAATAGTGGAAATGCCAGTCTGAATCATTTCTTCTGGATAAGTTCTTTCACTGGGGTTGATTGAACTCCCTGGGAAGAAGACAAGAAGGAAGGTTTCCAAGTTCATCAGAAAAAAACCGCAAAAAGAATAAGTTTAACTAACAAATGAACAAGTCTCAAAGCTACATACCAGAAATATCCAAGTAGGCCTCAGGGAGAATAGGAGGGCCATTGTCGATGGGTTTACCAGATCCATTAAAAATACGCCCAAGCATATCCTGGGAGACAGGAGTTTTCAAAACCTGCCCACGATGAAAAGATGGTAAGTGTGCAATCGATTGAGCTTTAACCAAGCAGTCAAAGACTGCTAAAGGTTTTGTATCAAAAAGACCCACAAGTTAAAAGGAAATCCATTTAAGAGAGTTCCTATAGGTACAAGAAATTATTGTAATAAATCCCAAATAAGATAAGAAAAAGAGACATACAACAACAAAAGTCAGGGAAGAGGAGGAGGAGGGGGAGGGGGGGGGGGGGAATAAGAGAGTAAAGGAATATGCAAGAAACAAAATATAATGACTTGGGGGCATTGTCTCATGAAAATCCTTTAAGTACTAGCAGATATTTCATTCTGAAGATTTTTTTGTGAGAGAAGACTTTAGCATCACATAACTTCCCCTTCTTTTTTTTTTCTTTTTTTTTTTGACAAGACCACATAACTTCCCTTAAATACTGAGCCATTGAACTGGAGCTTCCTGAGCATTATGTTTTAAACTTAGCAGAATTTAAGACCACCAATACCCAAATCTATAGTACACTAAGTTCAAACAAAGCAAGAAAAAAGAAGAGGATAGAGACACAGCAAAAAGACAAGTTATGATTAAAAACTAAATAGTCATCAACCATATTTATCTATTCATCAGGTAAAATAATTTTCTAGCAAGTAATAAATTACACACAATGAAGATATAGATACAACTTTAAAACACTGAGAATCCACTCTTGATAAAATACAAAGAATCTAATCTAACAACATTCATGCAATCAACCATTTAGTGCTATAGCTTGTGTTGTTACTTGTTAGTCTTGTTACTGAAAATCACTGATAGTCTGAGTCTCCTTACCTCACCAGTGAACTGCACGGTAGTATATTTGTTGTCAATTCCAGATGTTCCTTCAAACACCTGTCAGAAATATAAATCAGACTGCCTGAGTAAATTTCCTTTCATAAGACAAAAGTGCTTAAAATTCTCCCATCTGTAGAAGCATTGTCTAATAGTATTAGGATTAGTGACAGCAGGTCAGAAAAAAACTAGTGTCACAAAATGTAAAAGATAAACAAACAGTTCAAAATATAAACTTTAAGTACCTGAACTACAGCCTTCTCACCATCAACTTCCAAAACTTGACCTCTACGAGTTGATCCGTCTCCCAAACGAATATTCACGATTTCTTGAAATTTAGGTCCCTGTCGCAAATAGGCACACAATTCATAAGAAATGTAAATTTAACAGTAAAAAAAGTAAAATTGATCCAGATAGATATTAATTGGGACAAGAAAAATAGATAAGAAAGACACCAGACTTACCTTCACCTTTTCCAGAATAACTAGTGGCCCTGCAACTCCTGAGACTGTTCTGTACTCTGCAGAAATTAAAAATGTAACTTAGTAATTCGATAACAGAATGGGCTATCAACATCACACAGTTCATTCTCTCCCTTTTTCACAAATCACACACAACATAATACTAAGTAATAAATAGATCATGCCATGATCATAAAACCACCCATACAGGTCATAACCAACATGATCAACTACTCCTTAGACTCTCCAAAGCCTCATAATCTTGGATATGACACTACCCCAAGACATTCCATATTCAATAACAGCAAAATGAGCATACTAGCCTCATCTGATCATCAGTCCCCTCAACGTGCAAGTTCGAATGAGGGCCATCCAAGTACCACAAATTGATTGATTCACAGAGAGCAAGTCAAACATTGACCGGCTATTGAGATTTCGATCATATACCTCACTACCCAAAGTCAACTATCTAAATTTCTACTATATGATCAACTTTTGCTTGCCATCCCCAAAAAGGTAAATGATTAAACTTTTTCAAATACATCATCATTCCTATCAATGAACACCCAACACCACGCCCCGAGGGCAACAACATCAAACTAAAGCAGCTAGTTCCTATACCATTGAACCATAGATTGATATCACCTACTTCAAAGGCAGGCCATTTTACAATAGATCAAGTCTATGTGAAACAACAAATCTATCTCCTCCAACACCTTGAAACATTATCATATATTAACACAAATCGATTTTCCTATAAAAGATGCTAAAATTTAAATCAAAATCAAAAAATTGATCAATGTGAACTTCTCCAGAGCAATCAATCAATCAATTCAGTTGACATTCAACAAAAAAATGAATCACAATGCAATTGAAGAACACTTACCCATTCCAACCTCCAGGTTTCCATCCTCAATATCCAGAGCACCCATTACCGATCAAAAACTGAACAAAAATCAAACAAAATCCGTAAATACAACTGAAAATCAATCAAACACACAAAAATACAAAAAAAATTAGGGCAAATTAAAATCAGTAAGAATTCAAATCAGGACCAATCGAAAACCGATCAATCAATCAAGCAACAGATGAAAATTCTAGAAATTGAATCAATCAATGAATTAGGGAAATCAATCAAAAATTAAACTCAAATTCGAAATTATTGTGAAATTTTTGTGATTCATAAGAAAATAATTAGGGTATAGATCTGCAAGAGGAAGATTACCTGCGATCGCGAAGATGTGATGAGGAGAAGAGGATAGCGAAGATGAAGAGGAGAGAGAAAGAAGAGAGAGAGACACGAGAAAAGGTAAGAGATTTTGAGATCTGACAACACTCTTCAAATTATAATGTTGGCCCGAAAAAAAAAACAATCATTTAATCAGTAATTATTGATTTTTATTTTTTTAAGTAGTAATTTTATTTATTTTTAGGGTCCAAAATAAATATAATATGGTTGTGTTAATATTGATCAGGTAAAAACCAACAATAAAGAGAAATGAGATCTACTGTTAATGAGATCATCTTTATAAACTATTGTCTTATATGCTGCCTTTTTGTTGTTTCATACTCCCTCCGTTTCCTTTTATTCTTTATGTTTAGAATTATACACGGTTATTTAGGAAAATTAATAAAGTGAGTACATTCAATCATTTTTGTCATCATAATTCATTGGGAGATGATAAAAGGGACTATTACTACCAAAAAATAATGAAAAAGAAAAGGTGAAGAGGAGAGAGAAAGTAATAATGAACATTGAAAATTGTACTTAATCCAACATAAAATTGAAAAAAGTACACTATCACATGCAAAATTGAGGACAACATGAGATATTAAAAAATAAAGTAAGGGTAAAGTAGTCTAAACTTTATGTCTTAAAATAGAATAATCATAAATGTACAGAATAAATAGGAACACCAAAAATGGAAACGTAAAAAACAAATAGAAATGGAGGGAGTACGAGTTTTTTCTTTTTTTTTTTTTTTTTTTTTTTTTAATTTTTATTGTCGAAGGGTTTTAGTGGAAGCTACTAGTGATTATGATTAACTCGTTTAAAATAGTTTGTAACTTCGTAAGCTTAAGTGATGAATGAAATGGAAATACTTAACAAGAAGTAAACAAGTATCTTTCTTTATCATGACATGTTTAGGTACGTAAAACATTGCTTAAACACTTATTTACAACTTATGAACAATTCTTTGCATATATTTGAATTAACTTATGTTTTCTACTATGAAAACATGTGTCGAAGTTCTCGCTAAACTAAATATTGTCATAATATAGTCTTCAATGGTGAAGTTTGTGAGTACTGCACAAGGAAGAAGAAGATAAGTTTGTATAAATTATTATTATTATTATTATTATTATTTTTTGGATAATATCAATTGACAATTATTTTAAGGAAATTGTTATTTATATATAAGTTCCAAAGAGGCATATTACGTTCAATTGATCAGAATTCTGTTTTCTTCTTCTTCCCTTGAAAAACTTCTAGTAAACACAATTACATTCAATGAGATTAGGATGGCACCTGGGGGTAAATTAGTTCCTTAATCCCAATTATAGTGGGGGCTAATATTATCCTAAGGACAGAGATAAACTCGTCCTTTTCTAGTTTCAATTAATTTCAGTCATTTGTATTTGATTAGTAGTAGTATCTATTTCAACAATCTTAGGATAATATTATGGAGTCTGTTCAAAACACTATGAAGATGTTTAGTCAGGATACTGTGAAACTAGATCGCTTTGACGGAACCAACTTTTTGCGTTGGAAGGAAAAGATGTCGTTTTTACTCACTGCACTGAAGATATTCCACATCTTGGATCCTAAATTGGAGGCTATTCCAGAACCATCAGACAAAGATACTGAAGAAATGATTGCATAACGCAAGAAGCGCACTGAAGATGAAACATTATGCAGAAGCTACATACTGAATTCTTTACCTGATCGTTTGTATGATCTTTACACCCCTATACAATCAGCAAAGGAGATGTGGAAATCTCTTGAGTACAAATACGATGCGGAACGTTAAGGGGCAGATAAGTTTGTTACTTTTAAATTCTTTGAATTCACAATGATTGATGGCACTTCTATACCATGAATTTCGGATTATAATTTCTAAGTTCAAAGATTTGAAAATAGCAATTCCAGAAAAGTTAATTGTCGGAGGAATAATAGCCAAATGGCCACCATCCTGGAATGATTATAGAAAGAAATTATTGCGTACTTCTGAGGAATTCACTTTAGAACAGATTCAGAAACACTTACGTATTGAAGAGGAAACTCGAAATCTTGAAAAGGGTTTGAATGTTGCTTCTAGTTCTAAAGTGAATTATGTTAGTCAGAAGAAACAAAAGGGCAAGAAAAGAAAGGCTAATGACTCTAACAATGATAATTCTGACAAAAAGGGTAAGAAAGATTTTTCTGATGTTTTGTGCTACAAGTGTGGCATGAAGGGTGTAGTACCCTGTATTTTTGAAACGTATTAATTAATTAATTAGTATTTTCTAAAAAGGGTATTTTAGTAATTTATTTTACTATTTGAATTTTGGAGCCAAAATGATATTTGAATTTTGGCGCCAACAACATTTTCAAAACTCAATGATTATTTTGGATTTCGGATAAGATTTATTATCCATTTATTTTAATAAAAACCAAATTATATATATATTTTTCGGATATTTTAATTAACAAAAATTATATTCCTTATTTATAAATTAAAGGGCCGAAATTCCTAAATTAATTAATGAGATTTTCGGATTTTCTAAGTGTAGAAAATCTGGTTTTTATTAGTTAATTAAGTTAGTTTTAAGTTAATATTTTCTAATTAATTATTTTCTACAAAATATATTATTTACACAATCATTTTCTTAATCCTTAAAATCTAGCAAATATTTTCCTAAAACTAGTAGTGGAGGTCCGAAAATATGAGCATGGATATGCTCAATATTTTCGGCCACCCTATGTTTATTTTGGGATAATTATTTTGTTAGTTTTGTATTTTAATTATCTTCCTTAGATTCCTTATTTCCTTAATTCCTATTCTCCATCTCACAAAGATTTGATCATACAATTTAATGCCTTAAATCTTTCTTGATTATTCTCCAAGCAAGCTCACTTGCCATCTTTAATTTCATGATTAAGCTACTTACCTTAATTCTTTATTTCTTAATCACCATAACTAAACCTTCATAAATTCTTAAACTCTCTTTTCCAAGTAATTCCTTAAACTACATTTACCATAATTCTTCCTACAAAATCTTAACTTAATTCTTTCATTCAGGAGCCTATAAATACCCCCTAATACCTCTCATATTCGTCACACCAAAAACTCAAATCTCTTCTTCTCTCTTACTCTTCTTTTCCCTCAACATTTTCCTACTTTTCTTCTCCTCTTTTCTAAAAGAAAATCAGCCCTTATATCTTTGGAGTCAATTTTCTGTCACTTCTGGTCAGTTTTGGGGTTTTTTGATTTCACAGAAAATTTTTCCTCTTGAAAAATACTTGAAGTTAGGCTCAAGAATCGCCCAATTCAAAGTTATATTGAAGAAGTTATAGCCTCTGCAAGTTCTGCCTATTCTTTCCAATGCAAATTCAATTCTCTTTAATCCTATTCCTTTATTTTCTTCATGGTTAGTTTTCTAAAAATATAAATACTTATTTCAAAACTATAATTTTATATTAAAGTATTATTTTTAAAGAGTTTTATAGTCCATGCACATTAGATTTGGGTTTATGTCTAAAGATGTTGTGATAACCTTATGCTTATGTTAATTGCAAAGTGTATTCGTGATTGAACTTTGAAAGTGTGAAGAGTTGATTGAGATTCGGAATCAAGGTACGTTTAGATGGCTAGATACCTTTGAAATTGTTGGATTAATAAGCATGTTTGTGTGATTTTAATTAAATTGTTTTGTATTATGATTTATAAATTAACCTTGAGAATTCATGTTTTAATAAATATGTTTGAGAATGGATTTCTATCTTGTTTTGAATGGTTTGAAATTATTTATTATGTTTAAAGGAATTTGGTTTTTAAAAGTATGTTAGATTGATTCAATTTTTTTTAAAAAAGGTTTGATTTTAAAAGCTTGTTGAATTAAATTAAAAGAGTTATTATATTATAAAGTTTGATTTTATTTAAAAGAGGAATTTCAGGAGAATTATTTATTAAAAGCTTTACAAGCATTATTATTATATTAATCCCACTATACGGATTCATTGAAGATTGTGGACTTGGTATGACCTAGTCTTTCCTCAAAAATAGCCTTTTAATATAAAGATACTAGCTTGGGGGGTGTGCACACTTAGAAGAGGAATTGGGGTTTTAAAAAGGAATTGGTTTTTATCACTTGAATTATTATTCAAATTATTATTGAGTTTTTGGAATTGTTTAAGAATCTTGAGAATTGGTTTTGAATTTATGAGTTTGAAATTATTGGATTTGTTATTGGAATTGGTTTTAAAAGCATGTTTGCAAATAAATTGAGTTTACTTATCTTGCACTTATCGTACTTAGCATATTTTGCTAATCTGTATTTCCTATTTGTTTTGATTCGCCCTATTTACCTTCACGGTAAGCAGTGTTGACTATTTTCAGGTGGAGTCAATAAATGGGCATTTGAGAATCCCGGGATATTCTTCACCTAATTAGGAATATTGGTCTTTGTTTCTATTTTTGAGTACTCTTGACAATGTTATTACTATTTTATAAGTATTAAAAAAAAAGAGTTGAGTTTTCCGCTGCAAGTTTGTTATTGAGTTAAGTATTTTGAGTAGCATTGCGTAATCTCGCGACGGTAATACGCCTAAGTCTATCTCTACGGTATAATTATACGTATTATACTAGTATTTTCGTAGAGGGAGATTTAAGGGTGTTACAAAGGGCTATATCAAGAGTTTTTGCAGGAACCCAAAAAAGGGACATAACAACCAGAACTAGAAGAAAAACCAGAAGAATGATGATGAAGTGAGCGCTAATGTCATTGAAGAAAAGGAAAATGAAACTATTGCCATGATTTCTGATTTGCACATTGGTATGACCCAAGAGATGCATGTTGCTGTCACTTTGAGTGATGATTGGTGGTATGCTTTGGAAGCAACCACTCATGTATGCAACAATCGCTCACTCTTCAAGGATTATAAGGAGGCTGAAGAAGGCCATGAAATTCTTCTAGGAGATTATCACACTAATAAGGTTCTTGGTACCGGAAGTGTGGAACTCCAATTCTCTTCTAGAAAGAAAAATGTATTAACTAATGTACTTTATGTTCCTCAAGTAAGGAAGAATTTAGTTTCTGGTGTTGTGTTATGTAAAAAGGGACTCAAAGCTGTAATTGAGTCTGACAAAGTTATATTGTCTAAGACTAGTTCC